GACGGCGAAAGCGGCGGGGGAACATGCAATGACCCCGATGCTGATGAGGTCGATGACGCCCCGAAGGTGAACGAGTCCAGTGAGTTGATGGTATAGATGAGGTTCGCGTCAGCGGTGTCCGATCTGAAAACGTGTGGTTATCAGCGTCTATTAATTACACGCGTATGCGAAGGGAGCCTTTTTGGCTTGGCGGCCAAAACGTGGCTAGAACTCAAATAGACATCTCTCTGAGGAACAAGGACTCGTGGCCTTTCATGTATCGTGGGTCCAAAACGTGGGTCCCAGGATCAAAGAGAACGGACACTCACGAGGACGGCCCTGTTCTTCTTCTCTGCTCATATGATTCGTCGGCGTTGTCGGCGTGTATGTGAGGTGGAGGTGGAGATCTAGATACCATGGAAAAAAGTTAGCCCGGGTCTGGAGAGCACCAGAAACAAAGAGGACAAGAAGCCCCGGAACAAAGACATGGGATAGATTGGACGCACGGTGACTGTCTCAGTACCCTCATCTGCTCCTCCGGCGAAATGATTCGGCGCGGGGCGTAAACGTTATGGGTCATGGCTGTAGGAGTAGCTGGGGACGCCATAGATGGATGGCTGTTTTCAGCTGGGTCGATAGGTGCGAACGGCAAACGGGAGCTGCCAAGCGAAGTTCGACGGTGGTAGTGGGTGATTAGTGTGGGCGATTTTGCTTTGTCGTGCTTATCGTCGTCGTCGTTACCGTGCGGATTGGCGTTGTTGTTGTTGCTCGACGGAGATGCAGATGCGGGGGAGTTGACGTCGGAACGAGATTGCGATTTCCTGCGGGACGTCCAAAGCATGGATTAGCTCGAGCTTGAATCGGTGGTCGTTCGCGCTGATGACGACAGACAGGACAGCCGGACAGGACAGCAATTAAATCGACCAGGTATGGGCGGCTGATGGCGACGCCGGGCGGGGAGAGACGTGTGCAGGTTGTGCGAACGAAGGCCCGTCAAGGGAAGGAAGAATGCAAGGCAGAGGCCCACGCCGCACGTGGCACTTTTGATGTGCCCCTTGACACCTTTGTTCTCCTTCGGATCAGTTGCTTGGACACCGCGAAACTTAATACTTACTTACCGACGGTGGACACCTTGTGTCAAGCTGGAGGCGGACATCGTCGCCATGCTCCAGGCGCGTATACGCGATATTTTTTAGACAACCTCGCACAGCGCAAGCGTTGACAACGCTTGGGGATTGGCGAGATGCGATTTCGCTCACACCACCTCGCCTCATTGGCAGAACGTGGCTACACGTCCGGGGATAGGACTCAGATATCCGAGCACCCAACGGCGAACAACCGGCGCACACTCCCATCTGTCCACACGGCCTGAGGGTGTCAGCGCGTCAAGTTTCTTGGACGGCGCAAGCCACTTTGTACTCTATTCCAACGCGTCGCCAGCGGCCCCGAGAGCGTCTGCGGCGCTGTGTCCGGGTTCTAGCAGGAGAAGCCGAGGGAGACGCGACGTCACGACGCCTTCGGGGAACTCGACACACCGCGGCCATTCCCGGCTGACGCTCACCCGGTGCGGGCCATGCGGCCTCAAGACTTGTACACGGTCGTTCAAGGGGCAGGCACCACCGTGGTTGTGCACCGTGAAACACTGCGTCCACGGTTGATTTTTTCTTGCTCCTGTATCTCCTCCGCTGCCGTCGCCCATCTTCTTACCTCACTTTCGTCGGTCCCGCGACCACTGCTTGCTCATCGGCCGCCTAGTGGCGCCAACCTCAAGGCTTTGCACGTGGCTCCGACTGGGCAAGAACAGGAACATTGAAAGGCCAGTCAGTGCTCATGCGCCCCTATCGGCAAATCTCAGTGCTTGAGCCTCCGCCGAACATTGATGTTCTCAGCAGTTCCATAAGATTAACGGTATACACGGTCAGTATTGACCGTGGACTCCATCAGGGCAGACGCGACCCTTGGGGAAGCGTGGGGAAGTTGCGACAGTCGTGTCGTCTGGTATTCCATGCCAATACACTCAAAGTTACACCGTATTTTACATCGATAATAGATGGATGAATTCCATACTTGTATCGTAAATAAGCATTGTCATGATTAGATCACAGGGCGTCTAATGGAAAACAGTCAGCCAGAAGATAGGAATAAGAGAAGGCAAGCATTGCAACGCACAGATAAAGTCCTCGTTGGCCTTATCGGTAAGGTCGTCGAAGGCATTAGCGGCAAACGTTGCCCCATTAGCTTGCTGCGCAGCGGCGGCATCGGACGTCTTTTCACGCGAAGCATCAACCAGGACCCGAGCTTTGCCCATCGCCTCACGGCGCTTGCCGTGTTGACGATTGAGGAAAGAGAGGTAAGCTGCGCAACACCTGTGGAGGTGTCAGCATGACGAAGCGAGAGATCAGAGCGGGTCACGGACAGGAACATGACGGCGAGGGCCGAGAAGCAGATCAAGCTTGATTTGAGACCCTTGTGGTAGTACGGTGCCTGGTTGACGGTGTACAAGAATGGTCCGACAATCTGGGACGAGCGATCAGTGACTATGCCCAAGGCCACACGGGAAGGATGACTCACGTTGCCAGCCGACTGTCCGCAGAACATGATGCCAGTCGTCACAGTCTTCTTCGTATGTCCAGCGGTGTTCTGCGACGACCAAGTGTATATCAACGGCAAGATTCCGGTGTAGAACGACACACTACACTGTCTCAGCTGTGGCCCACGGATGAAAGCCTGAGTCACATACATGTAGTAAGCAGCGAGCAGCGAGCCTCTGTGTGTGGCATCTCGAGGGAGGACAAGCAATGCTGCAGCTCCAGCAATAGAGGGGAGCGTCAATGCCACTAGAACCGGGAATATCCGCTTCGTTCGAGTGGCAAGATAACCGGAACCCACTGTCGCAAAGATCTGGACAGCGCCGAATGGCATGTTGAATAGAATGGTGTGCAATTGGCTGAATCCAAACGAGTTGACGATCAGAGGCCCAAAGGTGGAAATCCCACCGCTGGGAACACTGCAAAAATGTGAGCGGAATGTGTGGCTTCCTTTTCAGGTTGCTACTCACCAAATAGTAAAGAGCATCAGGAACCAAAACCAGGTTTTGGGATCGAGAAGGCACTCGTGGACTTGCTCCCATTTCCACGTCTTCGTCTCAGTTCCCGTATTGTTGGCACGCAGACGCTCAACGGCGATGAGCTTCTCATCAGGAGTGAGGAATCGTGCGGTCGTCGGCGAGTTGGGCAAAAAGGTGCTGCAGACGGGTCAGATCCTGGAAGAGTGAGTTCACGAAGCAAACACGTACAAGATTATGAGGGAGAAGATCACGGTCAGCAATCCTGCGAACAGAAAGATGATCTGGGAACAGTGAGCGGAGCCTCCGGTGGCAATAGACGAAGCACTGACCTGGTAAGGCTCCAATTTATCGCTCTTGATTTGTCCCAATCCGTAGGTCAACAAAGAGCCCAGCTGGATAGAACATCGGATCGATGAAGAGACGGAGGTGTTTGCGACGTACCAAATTCGTGACACCGTTCATGGAGTACCACAGCGAAGTGCGCTGAGTTTGCTCTCGTCGACGCCACCACATGCCAGTGATGGTCACGAATGTCGGTGCGACGGTAGCCTCGAAGATGCCAAGGAAAAACCGAGTCACAATGAGGCCCTTGAAGTCCTTGGCCGCCGTCATTCCACAGAGGACGATACCCCAGCAGAGCACGTTGAAAGCAAGCCATTGGGCAACCGGAAGGCGCACGAGGAAAAACGAGGAGACAGGTTGCCAGACGAATTGGGCTGCAGAGTGAAAACTCGTGAGATGGGAAAAAGATGGGATCGGATAGACGTACCGGCATACAGGATACTCCCAAGAGCACTGAACTGATACCCGACCAGGTGAGTTTTTTGCACCAAATGGAACACCGAGGCATAGGACAAGGTGCTCTTGTCGAGCTGTTGCAGAAAGTAGATTCTGAGAAGAAATGAGCAAGTGGATCGAGCAGCTAGCAGTGCTCGGCATACGCAAGCATGATTGGAAGCAGATGCCAGTCAATCTTGCTCAGAATGCGCGCATTGTCTTCCGACGCGACTATGACAGGAGCATGGGCGTCGGCAAGGATAGCCTGGGCAGCGTCTCCCGGAGTTTGGGTATTGTGGAACCCCTTGGGGTCGTCGGTGCTATCGGATGTGCTCGCTTCGATATGACCAAGCTCCGACTTCTCGAGGTCCTGTGACATGATGTGAGACGTGGAAGAAGTGGGTGAAGTGAGGAAGACACTGCGACACTTTTTTTTCGCGGAGGCGGTGGCTTTATATACCCCACATGTCGCTTAACACTACCATCACAAGACACTTAGGGGTCCTGCAGCCATTTTGGATTGAGTCCCCCCTCGACGCCTTCACGTGAGCGATGGAAGTGGGTCCTCTTACAGGTGAAAAGCCTCTGCAAGCGCTCTTACTGCTTCGAATGTTTCTGCCCTCTGCTCTCGGCCACATGCCGAGCATCAGTAGGGTCAGGAAGGCAGCTGGAGGGAGGCTGAAGGTTACAGTGATAAGATGCAGTGCAGCTCGGAATTGTTCGGATCACCGGTCCGATATCCTTTGATGGTCGATCCCCGCTTCCCTGTACCATGGGGTTTCGTGGGGGAGGACAATTCTCTGCCGCCCCGGACTCTCCGTGTTCTGCCTGTATTGATCTTGGCACAACACGTTAACGCGAGTCTATATATTTCGGTGTTCGGACCGGGTGAAAGGATGTCACTCGGAAATATTGTCAGACAAAGCGGAACCTTGGCCGTCATTAGGCTACCAGAGACAAGCAAGCCGTGGCCGTGCCCCATTTTGTAGGCTAACCGAGCGGAAATTTCCACCCTAATGTATCAAAGCTTTCCACTGGAATGCAGAACACACAAGCACGGAAATAGAATTGAACAGGAGGTGCTTAAATTCGAGTTCGGAACACGGACCGAACGTGCCGCAGGAACCGAAATCACTTCTGCAACTCACATAAAATGGCTAGAACAAGCCCAACCAAACTGAGATCTTGGAGGAGCCTTCGTCATGCCACGCTTTCTAATTCCTACCTCGTTCTCACCTGCGCCGAGTGACGGCCTCGCATTCCATCTACGCAATCCAACGGGTCATGAACTCTCCGTCCAACCCATCTCTGACACCGTCGTGCGTGTGGTGCACCAGCTCCCCACCGACAAGTATCCCCAAAAGATCAACGGTGCGATTCAATGGGAAGTTGCCGCTCCTGCGAGCGTCGAGGTCAGCTGTTCGCATCGGAAGCCATTCGTTGATGGAATACTGATCTTCGCGATGTGCGTTTGCAGATCGGGAACACCTCCGCAACCGTCAAGACGAAGGCATTGAGCGTCAAAGTTGACTTCTCCGAAGGGCCGCGTCTGGAGTGGTTCACCAAGGATGGCACCCCGTTCCACGCGGACAGTAAGACGCGCGCATACACCTACGATGCGATGTCGGGTGCTGTTTTACATTACGTATACTGTCTACTCCCTTCCCTGACGCTCACGCTGATCGTCTCGCCAGGTCGAGAAAGAATCACCCATCCCTGTTACCGAGGACCAGTACACCTGCGATGGTCCCTTCGTGCACCCCGACGTCAACGAATACGTCTACGGTCTGGGGGAATCGCGCGGACCGATGAACAAGGTCGGCAAGAAGTTCGTCATGGAGGGCCGTGACTCGCTCTCGTACGACTGGGAACACACCGACACACTGTACAAGACAAATCCCTTCTACTCCGTGTACAACAAAAAAACCAAGTTGTGGTATGGCGTGTTCTACAACAACATCAGCGACACAATGTTCGATATGGGTTCGTAATCTTCTCCATTTTTGACGGTTCGATCTTGATCCATAGCAGGCGCTGAGCACGATGTTCTCTGGGGATTCTTTAGATGGTACAAAGCGAACACAGGTCCCCTCGATTACTACATCATCCTTGGTGACGGGACCCTCCCCTCCGTCTTGACTGAATACGCACGCCTTGTCTCGCCTTCGACTCCAGACAAATTCGCTGCGTCTTTAACCCTCCCTCCGCTGTCGCAGCTCGGATATCTGTCGTCCAGCCTTGCCCTTGCCGCCGAACCCCACGCACAGGAGGCGGTGATTCAGTTCCTGAGGGACTGCCGTACGAACGGGTTCCCTGTGGACGGCCTGTATCTCTCATCAGGCTGGTGTCAAGGCGAGATGATTTTCCCGAGTTTTGTGGCCCGATTCTTACTGTCGCTCCAGATGAGGAAACAGGAAACCGCAATTACTTCGTTTGGAACTACAGTCGTTACCCCACTCCAGATGAGATGGGACGGATAGTGGAGAAAGAGCTCGGAATCCAGCTCATTGCCAACACGAAGCCTTGGTTGCTGAAGGTACATCCACGATACGAGGAAGCGCTTACGAAGGGAGCCTTCATCCGACCCGCCCCCGATGCTCCAGCCGGCGCCAAAGCCGCTATGTCGTATTGCTGGTCCGCAGGCTGGAACGCACACGCCCCTGCGTCGTATTTCGACTACTCATCACGCGCTGGATCGGAATGGTGGGGTACGGCTGTCAAGGAAGAACTCGTCGCGAACGATGTCACTGGAATCTGGATCGATAACAACGAGATGTCGGGGCTGACGGACGACGACGAGCGGTACTCTGGCGAGCTCCCCATGTCTTCGATCAAGACAATTGAGCAGCGGATGGGTTGGAATGGGGGTGAGACGCGTGTCGGGAGTGCGGGCAAGATGATGAATATTATGGGTATGGCTCGGGTGCGTCCCTCTTTGATCTTCAAGGTTTTGGCTGTCAGCTGATGATCTATAGACGACCTACGATGCGGTGATTGCTGCTCGGCCTGAACATCGCCCAGTGATTGTTTCGCGCTCTGGCTTGCCTGGCATCCAAACATATGCGCATGCGACTTGGAGTGGCGATAACTCAACGACATGGAAAGCGCTCGAGTTTGGCACGAAGATGACATTGAGTGTTGGAATGAGCTTTGGACCTGGGTTGTTTGGTCATGATATCGGCGGCTTCGCTGGATCGCACCATCCTGGCCCAGAGTTGCTCGTTCGTTGGTGTCAAAATGGTGCATGGCACACTCGGTTCACAGTGGTATGTGCTCGGACTGCAAAAATCGATTCACGAATCTGACTTGCTTAGCACTCTGCGAAAGATGTTTCGACCGCAATGTGGATGTACGACGATGTGCCTGGAATCAGCGACCACATCCGTGCAGCCCTCGCATTCCGGTACCGCCTGACGCCGACGTTCTACTCATACTACGTGTCTCACTATCAGCGCCACGGCTGGCCCGTTCTGAAACCTCTCTTGTGGCATCATTCGGTTGATCCGAAGACACTAGAGATGGACGACGACTTCTTGTTTGGATCGCATATCCTGGTTGCGTCCGTCACCCGTCAAGGCGCGACGACGCGCAAGGTCTATCTGCCATCTGAGAGCAACGATGGTGAGAAGGGACTAGATTGGTGCGAGCTGGACACGGGGGTCTGGCATCAGGGCAAGGCAGACTTTGTCGAGCTCGACGCCCCGCTGAGTCGCACGCCTGTTCTGGTCCGATCTGGTGGAATCCTCGTCCTCGGTGGAGAATGCAAACGCAACGTTTATGACGGCGTTAACGAGCGGACGGCTCTCGTGTTCCCGGCTCCCGGCAAAGCATCTGCCGGCAGCTTCACGCTGATTGAAGATGATGGTGTTTCAAACGAGCATCTGGACAAGGGCATCTACACGGAGATCCTATTGACTTATTCGGCGACGGCGACCGAAGTCGTGGTCGACTACGAGGTCGTTCATGGCCAGTTCAAGCTGCCGTATGAAGCTGTTTGGATCCAACTGCCTATCGGTGACCAGCGCAAGATCGTCGTGAAGGCAGGCAAAAAAGAGGCCAAGGGCCCTGGTGGCCAGGTTGGTATCTCTATCAATTTCTGAGAAGAGCTAGGTAGTCGAATATATACCTTTGTATTACTTACTATGATTGCGCAAGAGCAGTCTATTGACGGTCCAGCATCAGATGAGATGTTCTCGGATCTCGGTCCGAACCTGGATGAGATGGATTTCCGACTTTGCTACGTAGCTTTTTTTATCTTCTGGAAGATGGACCTGCGAAGAGAGAGAGAATTCCGAATGCACGCATCGCAGTGAGGACTTAATACAGCGAAGGATCTAAGATCAGACCTGCTCGAATCCTCAGGACGTGTCGTCATTGAATAGCCATCGCGTGATAACAGTCCCTTGACATCGTTGGATATTTGAGACGCGGACACGAAGTCAAAGATCAGTATTTCAATACGGGACACTCAACGCCACTCGTGGCACAGTGTGTGAAATGGCGGGCGCGTGACGTGAGAGGCACGCGCCTGGTCGCGTCGTAACTCGTCACTGTGACCGTTGTTCCGAAAAGGTCACCCGCCCTGCCCTTTCCTTCGTGCTCAACGCTACCGCTTTCTTGGTTTTCGCGCTATCATGGACTATGTAACTGGTCAGTTAGATCCGCGGAAGCTTCGGTCTCGTAGCTGACCATCATGCAGCTATCGACGCGGATGTTCCATTTCCGCAAACAAGTTCCGGGACTGTTCGCAGTCTCTCGCATCAAATAAAAGGACGCATTAATATGCGTCGACACTTCAGACTAAGCTTCGACCCCCACGCGCCGGATGACTCTGATGATGAGGAGGAGGAGGAGGAAGAAGAAAACGCGGGGGTCGTGTCAGATGAGGAGGAGTACACGACGTCAGATTCAGACATGTCATCGTCGTCTGCAGCCTCAGAGGCACGGACGCTGGAGGCAGCACATGCTCCTTCACGCGAAATGTCTCCAAACATATGTGCGTAGCTACCCATTCTCGATGATCGCCACCGCTCATCGCGCATTGTCCGACAGACCAGTGGAACAAACCGCGCACGGGCCTGCTCGATCTTCCTCTGGAACTCATCGAGCACATTGCCACATCCATTCGCCAATCGAGGAGCCTGTCTGTCATGGACGCGGGGGCGTATTTCGTCGCCGACAAGTACCACGACTTTGCCGAAGCGCGTTTTTCACTCAGCTCGTTGACGAAGGTCAATAAGTTCCTACGCAGTGCTCTCGAGCGTCTATTGTACCGAAACATCCTCGTGGACTTTTCCAGCTGGAAAGGCCGCAAACACACAGCATGGCCTGCTGGATCGCTCGTGCTTCTTCTGCAGACACTGCACGAGAGGCCAGAGCTGGGCACCTATGTCCACATCGCAGCAGTCGACTTTCAGAACTGTACCGACGGGAAGCGCATAGAGGATGCTTTGCAGCTGTTCCTCCTTCGATGTCCCAACCTCAACCACCTCTTTCTATCTCAATGCCCCGTTGCGTTCTGGACGTGGACCGCGCCTATCTCCAGGCTCACTGGCTTTGCCACCGCCTTCGCGCCCGGAATCCTGATGACCCTGTTCCCCAGCTTATCCTCGCTGCGAGATCTGCATTTACGCGACTGCCATGTCATGGCTTTGCAGGGTCCGCTACCCTCGCATAACATCAAGCGGCTTCGGCTGGACAGCAGCCACGAGGACGCATCCGCACACTTCAATCGCGTGTTGACGATCTGCGCTGACTCCGTGACCGAGCTGCAAGTGCGCTTCATCGGCGGGCTGCAGCTGCGCGCGCCCCGGTTTACCGAGCGCGCATTCATCCGCCCCGGGGGTGACAAGATCCACACGCTGCGCCTGGACAATCTCAGCGTGCTGTCGCATCCCGCGTCCGGCTACGCGCAGCTGCTGCGCGATATGCCGGCCCTGGAACATCTGCATCTGTCCCATCACGGTGTTTTCGCGCGGAATGCATTTCGGGCGCTGCCGGATAGTCTCACGTCGCTGACCGTGAGCGAGTATTACGGCCTGTGGGCCTCGGAGCACTCGAAGAAAGGCTTCGTTGCTGGCTTGGCGCAGAGTGTGTTGACCAGCGGGCTTCCGATCGCCAGGGTCGAGGGAGCAAACGTCAGGAAGAAGGAAGAGATGAAGCCGCTCATCGACGCCTGCAGAGAGCGGGAGATCCTCTTCGAGAAGATCGGGAAAGCGGCCGCCGATGATTTCATTCGTGTGATATGTGAGTGGAGGATCGCGTGGCTCCAGGAGCTCGCTGACCTTTTGCTACAGTCGGACGGCGGATTGTGTGGAATCCGCTTTTCATCGATTCGGAGGCCGATCCAGTAAAAGAAGACCCCGTAAGTGAGTCGGATGACTCGGAAGAGGCTTGAAGTCAATTTGCGACACACTCATCACGCGACACCATTCCTCTCTTCTCATCCATCAAGAATCGTATCGTTCGTTGGTTCGTACAAAACTTATGTACATACAGTGTTGTCAAAAGGGCTACATATCGTTAATTACGCAATGATTAAAATGCATAGTAAGATAAACAAGGTAAACATGATGTTGATCGGACATTAATGGATCCACCACAAATTCAGAGGCGTTGGCGCAAGCGGCCGGAGACGCGCCCAGCCTTTGGGCTTGCTGATCCCAATGCGCCCGGCGTTCGAGCGCACGAGCAGGTCCAGGAACCGTGCAAATGCTTTGCTGTCGGCCGACAGGCCCTGAACGCTCTTGGACGCCGAGACGACGAGATCAGCATCAGATGGCGGGGAGGTGCAGCGGCTGGGTGCGCTGCTGCTGCTGCCGCCAGTCGACTTCCGTCCTATGCCAGAGTTGGTAGAGCTACCGAAAGCATCGGACTCCTCGTCGGAATTATCGGAGTCGCTCTCCCAGACGCTGGTCTGGGGCTCTGGATCTTCGGCACCACCAGCCCGGGGCGGCCAGCAGCCGACGTGATAACTGGCTCCGGTGGGAAAGCGGTACGCTTGCGGCGCTCGATAAAAAGGGGGATTAGAAGCAGCAGCAGTCGCGACAGTCGGGATGATTTCGTCGGAGTCGGAATACAGCTCGGCTCGCCGAGCGCATTGTGCCGTTTTGGAGAGGATCAGGGTGGGTATATCGACGTCGCAGCAGACCGCGATGGTGGTGAGGAAGAAGGGTTCCCACTGGGCAGAAGAATCGTGTATCTGGCGCAGCGACATCATATAAGCAGACGCGCAGAGTAGCACGGATAATCCGACACGTACTTGGAAAGCTTGCATGGCGTGTGCAAAAAAGACAAAAAAGCTCGTATACGAGGTGTAGAAGTAGGATCAAAGAGCGAGAAGGTATCGTGAAATGGGGGGTCAGTGTCTGAGAGTGGGCAGGGGGTATGAGGCGGGGGGTCGTAAGCGGCAAGAGACGGAAGAAGGACGACACGATACGGCGTGTGTTATATGCCCGCTATTGCTTTGTCCTGTGTCTCACATGCCATTATCGACGGATTTCGCACCAAGTCACTTCACGATCGGCTACAGCCCTTTGTTCCCTTTGTCAATGTCGCTATCGTGCCAACTCGTTTTGATGGCATTGTAGATAGCTTTGTAGATGTGGACACACGTGTAGAGATGGACTGGAGCAGGCCCGCGGAAACTCAGTATTATGTCACTCAAAAATAAAGTAAAACAAGGTCCAAAAATGGCCCAACCTCACTCAGTAGAATAAAGTAAAACGGGTCAAAATGTGCCAAGGTACCTCAGAATTTAGCGTAAAACAGCCCCCAGTTGAGCGGTTTCGGGCTTGAGGGGGAGAGAAATGTTCTAAAAGCGGAGCTGATCAGACAAGTTCCCCTCGCTTTTTCCCAGCTTTCACCCATTTAAGCACAGAACGTGCAGTAAATCTCAGTCCAAGAGCTCAAAAAAGACCTCACGTGAACGTATGCACAAAAACTGAGGGGTCCCTCGAAATTTAAAGTAAAACTACCCCAAAATGGCAATTTTCGTAAAGTAAAACAGTCTTTGGTCCTTGAGTGACCTTATACTGAGTTTCCGCGGGCCTACTGGAGCGTTTTACTTTGTTGTGTTTCTGCCTTTTTGTGCTCGATGTCGTGGAGGACACGAAGAGAAGCGATTGATGGAGGGGGCCACGTGCCATGGGTAAACGCCTACGGTCCTAATGGAGTTATTAGCACAGACACAGGTTTCCGGTTCACGGAGCATCGCGTAGAACAATGCAGAAGGCACAAGTCGCACAAGTTCCGGACTTATCGTGCCTGTAGTCCGATAAGTTCCTGGTGGGCGATATGGTGCACATACAGGTCTGAGAATCCACGGGAACACGATCAGTCACATGTATCGTGCTTTGTGACAGAACGCGTTAAATGGGAATACGAGAATGTGAGCGAATGGATGGAACGTGTTTTCAAAAACAACTGAAGAAGCAATGCTAAACTGATGGTGCTTCAAGTTGGTAAGCGACAGAGGTCGATCTGGTTCCACACTGCTTATAGAACTCTCAAACCCAGAGTAGAATCTAGGGACATGCAGGGTCCAGTAGCAATAACCTGTCAAACCAGGATCTTGGACGTGGATAGATAGCATTTATTTGGCACTACGAAGATTGTCCATGCACGCACTCACGATGTCATTGCAAGTCAGTAGATAGATGATAGATTACTATACGAAAGCAAACAGACTGCAGAGCAAAGCAGCGGCTGCAGCCAGTACCACCGACGAAGACGACAGACTTCGTGAGGCGGCGCCAGTCTTGGACCCGCCAGCTGACGCCGAAGGACTGGCAGCAGGAGAGCCAACGTCGGTTCCGGCATTGTTAGGTACCGAACTCGTGGCGGCGGGTGCCGCAGTGGGTGTCGGGGTCGGGGTCGGGGTCGCTGTGACAGGATCCGTGAGCTGAGCTGCTTCGGCGGACGCGCTGACTGCGACGACGGTTACTTCAGCCGCTTGCTCAGCTGCAGCGGTCGGCGCGATGACGATTGTAGCTGCAAGGGGAGATGGGCTGTCAGCAAGACTTGTACGTCATCATACGATTGAGCAACACACATTCGAAGTTGCCACCATTAGCTTGAGCACTGGATACAGCTTCGGCTAACAACGCGGCAGCATTATTCGGGACTTGAGACACAAAACCGATACGGGGTGGGTCTTGAGACGGGTGTGTCAAGTTGCCGTAGTGGAACACGACCAGGTTGCTGAACAAACGTAAACAAAGAACCAGATAAAGCAACGGAAAACGACGCACGACTTGAAGAATGGATCGCCCAGAGACCACCGGA